TTTCTTTTATTCAGAAAGTCTATTTTCAATAACGTTTTTGTGAAATTTCTATTCATCAAAAATTCTTGAAAAATATAAAAACATTTTTTTTAAATTAAAAGTAATATATTCATTTTAAAATAATATATTTATAATATAAAAATATTTCTTAATATTACTTTTTTTATTGTATCTATGATCATGCAGCCTTGATGAACTTTAGACTTCCAACACACGGAAATGTCTTGCAGCTCTAAACTTTTGAATGGTTGAACTTTTATTTTTATTAAGTTTGGTCCAATTTTTTGGCATCTCATTAAAAACACACCTGATTGAGGTCTGGTGAACTGAAACCATCTAAATATAAAGGGGTTTCATTAACAAATGTAGTTTTGCTCATCCAGAGGAAAATGAAAAATGGTATGTTTATGCGCAAATGAAGGTTTGGAGACTGTAAATCCTCATGAAGTATGCTATTTAGTGTAGGATTAGAAAGCCTCACCTCTTTAATGAAGTACTTGGGTTTCCAGGTGGTACTGCTGGCCGTTCTCTGCTTCCCTTCTCTTCTCTGCTTCTCCTCCAACTGGTGTTTGTTTTCAGAGGCCGCATCGATGTCTCCGGCCTTCAGTGCCGCTGTCACATGCTGCCACAGCCTCCTGTCAATCATTGTCACCAGACAGGATAAGGACACGAGAAATGCTTGATTCACTGACCGTCGCATGAATACTGCAAACAGTCGGTCAGTCTGGAAAGAATCACGCTTAAAAGATGTCTGGCTGATATGACTCTACAATTTTTTTCATGCTTGTATATGGTTGTGGAATAACACACCTCAGATAAAATTGACCCTAAATTGCACCTGAAAACTACTGCCACCATGGCAAAAAAAAATACAAAATGTATTTCAAACATATGCTAAATGTTGTAAGCAGCATAGCTTAGGATTTTTTTTTTTACATACTTAAAACACAATTAATTTAATAATTGCGTATGTTATAAATTGTACTTCAAAGAGCAAGAAATGTCATTTTCAATTGTAATAATAAATTTGCCATTTTAAATTTTGGACAATATAAATATTTTTGGATTAAAAATATTTGGATGAAAAATGGCCAAGGGTGGACGAAAAAAAATGTATGATGAAATATAAATAACAAAAAAATAAACTGAACTCATGTGACGGTCAGTATAAAAAAGAAAAATATATTTATGCAAAATATTTTAAAATATATACAAGCAATATATATTTGCCCGTTATGGGATATTTTTAAATATACGTCAAATATATTGAAAATGTATTTTTGCAATATGGGCAATGAATTTACAAGTCATTCAAACGGTTGTTTCTTGAGCAGAATAAGCTGCAAAACTGTGCTGTTTAGTCAAGGGTGTTATGTCTAGCCATATTGATCAGGATAAGAAAAGCAACCTCAGATGATGAATCAGCCAAATCTTTTATTAAATTAGACCCCAAACCTTTCGAGGATCAATAGATCCACATTTTTCGCATGCATAGCACTGCTTCCATGCACCTCTCTGCCGCTCTGTCTCTTCTTTTGATTGCATTACGCGTGTGTGGTAACACCAGGTTGAGAGCATTAGACTACTCTGATGGGCTCTGTCCTGTTCGACTGGATCTCTCCTCCACAATAAGCCAATAAGCAGCATTAGAGATTATTAAGTGAAGCCTGCAGCTCGCTCAGGGCCAGAGCGGTGCATGAGGGTCACGAGTATTTTAGAAGAGCTCTAGAGGGGCAGGATTTAGCTAAAATGCAGGATGCTCATTCACCATGGTATTATCTGGATCACTGAGCTCTGATCTTTTACACTCGTTATTTATTAGTATTGTCTGAGTGCCTAAAAGGAAGGTTTCACTATGCTCCCATCTGAAGCATAATGAAAATAGACAGTAATGGACTTGTGTACAAGATGAATAAAACAAAGTAACTCTAAATAAATACACATTATTTATATAAATGTATTTTAGCAAGTCTGACAATCAGACCATTTTGGCCTTTTTGACACTAGACCCAAATGGCTGCAAAAAAATAAATGATTTTTAAAGAATGATTTTTTTATATATATTTGTACATTTAAACCCTACTAAATGAAATTCATGAAATACATTTTTCAGTTTATTAGTTCAGCTTATATGGTAAGATGGTAAATTGCCAAATTGAGGTATTTTTTCAATGGTTATGAACTTTGTCTTTTTTTTACCTTTTAAATAAATACAGCAAGAACTATGAAAATGAAAAGAAATGAAAAAAATTTTGAAAAGGCATAAAAAGGATTAAATATCTGGGTTGTCTTTGTCACACAGACCTGACAACTAAACTCAACTCAACTCAACTCAACTCAACTCAGATAAAATTGACCCTAAATTGCACCTGAAAACTACTGCCACCATGGCAAAAAAAAATACAAAATGTATTTCAAACATATGCTAAATGTTGTAAGCAGCATAGCTTAGGATTTTTTTTTTTACATACTTAAAACACAATTAATTTAATAATTGCGTATGTTATAAATTGTACTTCAAAGAGCAAGAAATGTCATTTTCAATTGTAATAATAAATTTGCCATTTTAAATTTTGGACAATATAAATATTTTTGGATTAAAAATATTTGGATGAAAAATGGCCAAGGGTGGACGAAAAAAAATGTATGATGAAATATAAATAACAAAAAAATAAACTGAACTCATGTGACGGTCAGTATAAAAAAGAAAAATATATTTATGCAAAATATTTTAAAATATATACAAGCAATATATATTTGCCCGTTATGGGATATTTTTAAATATACGTCAAATATATTGAAAATGTATTTTTGCAATATGGGCAATGAATTTACAAGTCATTCAAACGGTTGTTTCTTGAGCAGAATAAGCTGCAAAACTGTGCTGTTTAGTCAAGGGTGTTATGTCTAGCCATATTGATCAGGATAAGAAAAGCAACCTCAGATGATGAATCAGCCAAATCTTTTATTAAATTAGACCCCAAACCTTTCGAGGATCAATAGATCCACATTTTTCGCATGCATAGCACTGCTTCCATGCACCTCTCTGCCGCTCTGTCTCTTCTTTTGATTGCATTACGCGTGTGTGGTAACACCAGGTTGAGAGCATTAGACTACTCTGATGGGCTCTGTCCTGTTCGACTGGATCTCTCCTCCACAATAAGCCAATAAGCAGCATTAGAGATTATTAAGTGAAGCCTGCAGCTCGCTCAGGGCCAGAGCGGTGCATGAGGGTCACGAGTATTTTAGAAGAGCTCTAGAGGGGCAGGATTTAGCTAAAATGCAGGATGCTCATTCACCATGGTATTATCTGGATCACTGAGCTCTGATCTTTTACACTCGTTATTTATTAGTATTGTCTGAGTGCCTAAAAGGAAGGTTTCACTATGCTCCCATCTGAAGCATAATGAAAATAGACAGTAATGGACTTGTGTACAAGATGAATAAAACAAAGTAACTCTAAATAAATACACATTATTTATATAAATGTATTTTAGCAAGTCTGACAATCAGACCATTTTGGCCTTTTTGACACTAGACCCAAATGGCTGCAAAAAAATAAATGATTTTTAAAGAATGATTTTTTTATATATATTTGTACATTTAAACCCTACTAAATGAAATTCATGAAATACATTTTTCAGTTTATTAGTTCAGCTTATATGGTAAGATGGTAAATTGCCAAATTGAGGTATTTTTTCAATGGTTATGAACTTTGTCTTTTTTTTACCTTTTAAATAAATACAGCAAGAACTATGAAAATGAAAAGAAATGAAAAAAATTTTGAAAAGGCATAAAAAGGATTAAATATCTGGGTTGTCTTTGTCACACAGACCTGACAACTAAACTCAACTCAACTCAACTCAACTCAACTCAACTCAACTAAACTAAACTAAACTAAACTAAACTAAACTAAACTAAACTAAACTCAACTAAACTCAACTAAACTCAACTAAAATACGACTACAAATGAAAAGAAATTTGAAAAGGCATAAAAAGGATTAAATATGTGGGTTGTCTTTGTCACACAGACCTGACAACTCTGATCTTATGGGATAAAAATAAAATAAAATAAAATAAAGCAAGACTACAAATGAAAAGAAATTTGAAAAGGCATAAAAAAGATTAAATATGTGGGTTGTCTTTGTCTCACAGACCTGACAACTCTGATCTTATGGGATAAAATTAAAATAAAATAAAATAAAATGTAGTTGTTTAGCAAGTTTTCAAATTGAGGAAATTTTAACAATATTTAGCAATATTTAATATTAATGTAAACAATATTTAATGGTTATAAACTTTACTTTTTTTTTTTTACTTTTAAACAAAGGTTTAAAGCTGCTACTCGCATAATATGAAAAGTCTACTACTAATGAAAATAAATATGAATATAAAACTGTAAAACAATGCTTATAGCAACTTCAAAGAAAAGATCCTTCATGTTAATTCTCGTTATCAATTCTCTCACATTGTCATTACTGAAGCTAAATTCATGAACGCATCTCCTCACCTCGATTCATACAGGCCCTGTTTCTCCAGGGGCCGGATCTTCTTCTTAATGACCGGCAATTTGGAGGTGTCAATCACTTTGGTCTCTCCGCTGCTGTAGGTGAACTCCAGCGTTCCGTTCCACTCCCCCTGAGCCTTGCAGACGATGGTGCCGCTGGGGTTGTGCTTTACCTCAGCCGTGACTCTGTTGGGAGAATGACAAAAGAAAAACTCTTTGACCTGATCTCAAATAAAACAGGCTCTCAAAGACAAGTCTCGTCACTCTCACCTGTGAACCTTCCCTCCGTAGAAGGGTTTGGTGTGGAATGTGACGGTGGAAGAGTATCCGCTTTTGGCGCAGCAGATGGAAACTTTCCCGCCCAGCTCCACCCAGGGCACTGTGAGGATGGAGCGAGCGTAGGCAGACGGCAGCGTGAACACATACTCCTCATCATGCTCCAAGAGATGTAACACTCCTAACGTAAAACACAGGGCACAGGGCACACACTCTTCAGCAGAACACACTCACCAGGAACCGTAGATACAGTACTGAACACTTTCAGCTCATCTCCATATAAAAGATTGGCAGCAATACTGATCCACGTTGAAGGAGTTTACAAAGCTTTTGCGTGTTGGGTGCAGAGGAGAAACTCAAAAAGCAAGCAAAGTATTATGCTAGATGTTTATTTAGGTTATGATCAAATTAAAACATGAACAGTGATTTTGCATTAATACAAAAACTGTTTGTGCTCTTAAATGTCAATCTAACAGTTTCATCTATCACATTGTATCACAAATTCTAAACCAGTCCCAACCAATCCTAAAGGAATAAAATGTCCTGTAAGAATTCTAAAAGAAATAATGAAATAAGATCCTAATAGATAAACTGAAATCACACATTTCAATGTATTAGTTCAGTTGATCTTTAGTTATTTGGTCAAAATGAACAAATAATTCAATATTCATTGCTTGGCAACTTGATGTTTTATGAACTTTGCAAAGGTTTAATGCTGCTACTTAATCTACATTATAAATAGGTAAACAACTGAAAAAGAAATGAAAATGCTTAAAAAAGGTGGATTCTTGGAGCAGTGGGATTATGGAGAGTGATGTTATTGTTAAATAAAACAAAAAATATATATAACAAACATTTTGTTCATTTGAAATAAAGCTGAAATCTAAATATTAGATAAAAAAACAAAAAAAATCTTGCCTTGGCAACCAGCTAAATTAAAATATGTTTAAGTTTAAGCACTTTTACTAAAACTAAAACTGAATAAACAAATAAATAAATTCATAGTATTTTAAAAAGCTGAAAATAGAAAAAAAACAAAAAAAACGAAATATACTAAAAAGCACATACAATTACTAAAAAGTAAATAAATAAAATAAAAGCTAATATAAAATATTAATAAATACTATAATAGTATACAAATAATGCTAAAAGCAATAAAATATAATAGTAAATGTAAAAAAATATATATGATAATAATGAGCAAAATGGAAGCCACAACAAACCATAAAAAAGACATTAAAAGTTCATTAGGAAAAATTGAAAAGTTGAAAATTGAAACTGAAAATATGAAAAGTTCATAGTAATATTAAGATCAATAATAGATTTTTTTTAGTATATTGTTTACCTCTGTATGATAAACAATTCTGTAAATGTCAACACTTTATGACCAATGTAAAATCTGGATCCTAAAGCAAAACTACTTTTTTGAGCATATTAGAATTGGTTCCAAATTATATTAACAATTAATTAGCATGCATTTAGGACTATTAGTTTTTAAAAATTAAATTCAAGCTTAATTACCACTATAATCCTTCTGTACAGCCCAGTGTCATGTGTCATCAGGATGACAGATTTCTTTCCCAGTCATTTAACAATATCAGTTTCCTGGTGTACTTTGATTTTAATATACTATATTATAATGCAAGTCTCGAACTACAGTTGGAAGTTATTAATTAAAATGATGAATTGCGTCTAGCTGTGTAACTCGGGTAACATCTGAACAGCAGCTCTCTTGTTTACCTCTGTATGATAAACAATTCTGTAAATGTCAACACTTTATGACCAATGTAAAATCTGGATCCTAAAGCAAAACTACTTTTTTGAGCATATTAGAATTGGTTCCAAATTATATTAACAATTCATTAGCATGCATTTAGGACTATTAGTTTTTAAAAATTAAATTCAAGCTTAATTACCACTATAATCCTTCTGTACAGCCCAGTGTCATGTGTCATCAGGATGACAGATTTCTTTCCCTCAATCATTTAACAATATCAGTTTCCTGGTGTACTTTGATTTTAATATACTATATTATAATGCAAGTCTCGAACTACAGTTGGAAGTTATTAATTAAAATGATGAATTGCGTCTAGCTGTGTAACTCGGGTAACATCTGAACAGCAGCTCTCTCGGTGGGCCTGGCCTCTTTTTATTCTGGTTACATAATGGACAGCTGTCTAGTGGCAAAATCTCTGTGGGCTTTCAGCCAGGTCTGACAACAGCACATCTGTTTCCCAGAGACAAGAGAGCTGAAGAGGGTGGGTGCAGTTCGGCTCCCTGTCTCTGGATCTCTGCTCCAGACGGGTCAAACGTGCTGCGGCCCGAAGCAGTGCTGCTGGAGCAGTTCCCTGTGGGAATGCTGATAACAGAGTTTCTCTTAAGATCCCAGTAGAGGACAGTTGAATTCATCCGTGCTGACACATGAGGAAACTACATTTGATGGAGCCGACGTGGCTGATTAGCAGGAGGGACATTCACTGTGTTAAGGCTGTTCAAGCACCCTTAATTCAGTCATGATGTCAATTTGTAGCGAGCCTGGAGTGCTAATTGACTATGGGTTCCATCAGGAAATTCAAATGGGTTTTTAGAATAGCGAGCATTTTACTGTTTCACAAAAGAAAATTGTCATGCCAGAGTTATTACAGTTAACTAAAACCAAAAAAAAAATCGCTACTTAAAAAAAAACAAAAAAACATTCATAGATTAGATAGATAGATAGATGCATATAAAAATATATGAAAATATGAAAAATACAAAAATATGAAGCTGCACAACTGTTTTCAACATTAATAGTAATAAGAAATGTTACTTGGGCAACAAATTCAAATAAAAACAGTTATTGTAAATTCTAATATATTATAATATCTAAATATAATATCTAAATAATCTATAATATTTCACAAAATTACTGTATCTTTGATCAAATGTGACCCTGGACCACAAAACCAGTCATAAGTGTCAATTTTTTTTAAATACATAATCTGAAAGCTGAATAAATACACTTTCCATTGATGTATGTATTTGTTAGGATAGGACAATATTCAGCCGAGATACAACTATTTGAAAATCTGGAAT